CTTACGCCTCATTTAATCTGAATAAACATGGTACTAAATTAAATACTTAGGCCAGAAAGACTTCTTCTCACTATCCTTTTAAGATACAATTTTATAAAAATACAATTTATTGGTTACTTCAGTGATAACACTGTGAGCTACAAAAGATTGTAATACGAATAGTTAGATGATATATGAACATTAGCTACCTTTACTTTTCGCAAGGGTATGGGGCAATATCAAGAATAGATTTAAGTAATGAAAAAATGAAACTTCACTTAAAAGTGAAAATCATCCAAAATTCCTCCCTTCTCTTCTCTAATATGTTTTAGTCTTTTGTTCTATCCTCATCTGTCCAATAGTCTATTCTCACTTACTCTTTCCTTCTCTTCTCCGCTTCTTTCAGTTTTCCTCTGCTCTCTTTTCCTATCCCATTTCGTCTCGTCTCCTCTCCCTAAGTCATTGTCGCACTATTTTTCTCCTAATAATATTCCTATTTTTTCCCATTATAACGTACTTCTCTATTTTTTCTAGTCTCTATGCCGTTGGTGGCCGCGATGGCAGTTCCTGCCTCAGAACAGTGGAACGTTTTAACCCACACACTCAACATTGGTCTCTGGTTTCGCCGATGCTCCACAGGCGTGGTGGCGTTGGGGTTGCCAGTCTCAGTGGTCGGTTATATGCAGTTGGGGGTCACAACGCGCCACCTTCGCAATCAGCTGCTTTGCGGACTGCCAGTGTAGAGGTCTACGACCCAGTGACGGACTCGTGGACCGAAGTGGCACCTTTGTCGTCTCCCAGAGATTCCATCGCTGTTTGTGCTCTTGGTGGTCAGCTATACGCTGTCGGGGGGCATAATGGACGCATTTACACGGACAGAGTAGATGTCTATGACCCCGAAGAGGACGTCTGGTCGGAGGTTAGTCCTAATTTGTGCCATTTAATCCGTCTGAGCGATTCTGGTAATAGCTACTATGAAGGCGTTGTTAGCCTCTTTTATTGCGCTTCTCCGTTAATTACTGTCCGATATGTTCCAATCTTATTAGCACTAAAGCCTTTAAGGCTGGCATAGATATTTTTATTTTTAAAATTCGCATAAAGTTAAGATGCACATTTGTAATGCTCGTTATTTTTTCTCTTCCTATTTCATTCCTTCACAATTTTCTGCAACTTTATCTGTTCTTTCATAGGCTAATCTTATTTATGTGAATTATGCCGTAATTAAACCTTTTCGGAAATCCATAAATGCCTTTAGCTTTACCTTTTGAACAATCGAGCTCGCAAGATGAAGTCAAAACTGCAGTCCATCCTGGAGGGGAACAACTTTTAGGAAAGCAAGGTTATGTTGAACATCAATGGAAACACCAGCTCTGCTCATATCGTTGTTGGAAATTTTAACTACCTCTCCTTCCTCACCCTAAACGAAATAGGGTGAATATATCTCATATAAAAAATATCATAACCTGTAGAAATAAGATGCACACGTTATTCAATCTTGTTATGTGTACAGATCCGGTTAGCTGCTATACATGCAAATATGTAAAATAATTTCTCCTAGACTATATGTCATTCGATCCGGCCTTTCATATCTGCATGCTGATTGAGCCAATAATGGCCAAGCCGATTTGTAATGGAGATAGTAGTAACAGGTTTCACGCTGAGACGATACTTGGTGAATGAAAGCTCTATTTGATTTATAGAAGTGGGTTGACCTCGTTGTCGCAACTTGGTTTTGTGCTCATGGAGACTATGTAGAACGCACCGAGTCCGAAGTCGTCTGCCATAGTAGTTGTCTTGATTCC